AGCTGAAGTCGGACACTCAACCAGCTGAGCCACCCAGGCGCCCCTGGTTTCTTTATATGCTGGTAAATATCCCTTTCCTGTAGGATTTCCAAATGGGGCAACAAACCCATCACAGAGAACAGAAATTTAGGATTCTGCTCTACTGAATTTTGTGACAAATTTGCAGACTCAGTATTGTTACTGTCCCTGAGGCTTCATGTGGGCTCAGATCTGGACCTGTAGATCTGTAAGTTTCTTCCGCATGGACTCCATCAGCAGATTACACACAATCACAGGACAACCTTTTCCAGCCACTCACAGATTTGTGTGTGTGTGTGTGTGTGTGTGTGTGTGTTAGGCATTTTCAAAAATGACAGACACTACACAGGTTGTAAGCACAGAGGTCAGTGGAATTCATGACTGAACACACCTCTGTACACAACACCTAGATCAAGAAAAGAATGCTGTAGTTCTTCAGAAACCCTCTTGCGCCACCTGTCACTACCTCCAAGAATATAATTCTTTTGCATGGATTTATGGGAGTGGAATCTTAGGACATAGGTTTATATCTGCTCTAACATTTAAGAGAGTAGTTCACTTTGCCTGTTTTGTACTTTATGGCATGATCTCTTTCATATTGTCATTTTTTCCCCATTCTATCTGATGTTGTGAATTTATCTGTATTGCTGTATATCACTCCCTCCATTCATGGTATAGGACACCATTGTGTAAATATGAGTCAGTTAATTGGTTCATTCTGTTAATGAGCTGGTGGGTAGTTTTTAGTTTGGGGCTGTTATGAGTAATGAGTAGTGCTGGCATATAAACCCTGTGATTGGTCTTTCTGATGATAAATGCACAGATTTCTGTTGGACGCATTTGCAGGAGTAGAATTGTTGGGACACAGGGTTGTATTTGGACAGCTAAAGTGGATACCGCATCGTTTTCCAAATGTGTGTACCAGTTTTAACACCTGCCAGCAGTATCTGAGATTCTTCATTAATCTATATCTTTGCCAGAGCCTCATTATTTCTGTCATTTCCAGTTTATATTTTTCAGTGCTGTTTGGCATTATATTTAGGTAGTGGTTACATTTTGATTTTCCTGTTTACTAAGGATATTAAATACTTCTACACACGGGGTGCCTGGGTGGCTCAGTTGGTTGAGCATCTGACTTCAGCTCAGGTCGTGATCTCACGGCTTGTGAGTTTGAGCCCTGTGTTGGGCTCTGTGCTGACAGCTCAGAGCCTGGAGCCTGCCTTCGATTCTGTGTCTCCTTCTCTCTCTCTGCCCTTCCCCTGCACGTTCT